TCTAGACTTGAATTATAGGACATGGTTTGTGTGGATTCAACCTTATTTGTGCATGGAAGATGGTTTTATGCATTAGTGGATTTGGTATAAGTTTGGTTTAACTTATTGATTTTTGTATAAGTTTTGGACTTATTGATTTTGGAAAGCTTGTAAGGACATATTTCACGTGATGGTTAGGGTTTGGCTCTAGTATGGAGACAAAAGTATTCTAAGTCAAAAGTGCGCACTAGGTAGTACCTTATGGGTCGTAATTACCCAGAATAACTTATGCATGTGCGTACTAGGTAGTGCCTTGTGGGTTATAATTACCCGGAAACACTTACTTGGTCTAGTGACCACATGTCCTAGTCTTTCTACTTTGTTTTTCCATTCAATTTCAAGTTGTTAATCATGGATTACTTGTAACTTAAGAATTGGTGTTTACTTATGTATTTTGATCTCATTTAGTATACTTGAAACTGTATACTTGAACTTGTATCCTTGTTGGTGTATCTAAACTCTATCTAGTGTATTTACGCTTAGTATGCTTGTCTTGTGTATGCGGATTTCATTTTAGTATACTTGTGCCATGTATACTTGCCTTGTGCGTACGTGTTTAACTTAGTATATTCGTGTTTGTATACTTGATTTATGAGTACTATATACATATATCTTATACTTGTGTATGTATACTAGATATTGCTTATCCCGTTTAACAAGATTTAGTATACTTGTGAGCATGTGTACTTGAATGTCGTGCATTATGTTTTAATATGGTTTAGTATACTTGGAAAATGTATGCTTGTATGTTGTATAACATATTTTAATATTGTTTAGTATATTTGAGCATGTATACTTGTATGTTGTTGTTCATTTTAAATTGCATGAGTACCTTAGGATGATCCCTGAGTCTCATTTTGACATTGACGTTAGGTGGCATGAGCCCCTTTAACATGTTTCACCTTAAGGTGATATAATTGTAAAAAGCTAGGTCGATGCATGCTCATCTCCTACGAGTAGCTTTATGTTACTCACCCACGTAGTGGGAACATTTTTCAGGTACCGGGATCAAGATTTGGGATTCACATCATGCTTGGATGATTTGTAGACTTGAAGTTCTTATTTCATGTAAATGTTGGCTTGAAATGCCATTTATAGCTTTATATGTCAAAATGTGTAAATTTGATTCTATTTTTATAATGTGTATATAAGTACACTCTTTACAATGTATTTGACATGTATGGGATGAGGTCATAGGCCAATGACATGTATCTTGTATTCTATGCAACTTTAACTTCATGAAATATTATGAAAATATTGAAAAAATGCTACGTCATTACTTCATAACTTTTGCATCGGGTGTGGGAATTCCATTTTTATTCTTTCATAGGGTCTTATAAATCATGTTTGAAGTGTGGCCAAGGGCCAAACGGTAAATTGAAATCATTTGAAAATTTTGGTTTTCAAATTTCCCTTTTCTTGTTCATTTTTGCCTTTTTGCCCGTTTGGGGGTCGGATTTTGAAGTGGTGGTATTTTTAAGCCGTGGACCATTGTAGCGTATCTAAATAGGTAAGTTACATTTGCGTGCATGGTCGTTTCCGGGCAAACCTTCTTCTTTGGTGAAATGAGTCTCCTATAGACTCATTTTGAAATTTTGTTGCATAATCTGATCTAGGGGCATTCTAAACTTTTCACATCAGTTTTAATTTCTTCTTTCGACATGGTCAAATAGAAAATGTGATTTTAAGGGGGGGTTTCTTCTTCGTGTTTTTTCAGAAAATGTCGTCTTGGTACCGGAAATCCCTCTTGAAGTTTCAGCTTGCAGTTTGCATTTTAACAGCTTTTTGCCTTTCTTGACCAGTTTTAATCTAGGGGCATTTTGGGCATTTTACAGTGAGTTTTTTTTTTGCTTCTCTTACGAGTCATGTAGAAAACTCGATTTTAGGTGGGGTTTCTTCTTCGTGTTTTTCCAGAAAAACTCGTCTTGACCTCCGTTTCAAGCCTTAGTTCTGGTAGCTCATTTTTTTTCTCTTGCTGTCAACATGTGCATGCCATCGGGCGCCGGTGGGCTCGTGCATGGGCGCCGTGTACGCCATGGCCTTCGTTGGGCCGCCGCGACGTCTCAACTTCAAACCCTCGTTTCTCCCTCGTCCGGACTCCAAGTCGAATGAACTTTTTTTTGAACTTGACTAATTTTTCGCTGTCATTCTAACGGTGTGCTCGGTTGCACCTAGATCTTCCTGGATAATTACCAGTTTACCATTTTAGCCTTAAGTGCTCGTTTTTCTTCGTCAGGCCGTTTCTCCTTCGTCCGGATTTCGAATCATGCGATTATTGAGTCCATCATGATTATTTTTTTATTGTCTTTCCAGCGGTTTGCCCGATGGCACCCGAATCCACATTTTTCAAAAATAACTATTTTGCCCCTAGGGGTTTATATGTCATATTGTTGACCTTTTGCTTCCGCATCAGTTCTCATTGAGTTTCACGATCTCATGGAAGGTCACTTTGATTTCTTAGAGTCTTGTTTTCTGTTTTCGTTTCTGCATTTCGGATCCGTTATCGGATCAGCCTTACGGTTCTTCACAGGACACGCTGGCCTAAAAATCAGGGTCGTCACAATTTTACACTACACATGGACTACTTTGCACTAAATCGATAGTAGAGGGGTTTTTTTTTTTTTTTTTTTTTTTTTTTTTGCAGTTAAACCCTATATATATTAATGTGTGTGCGTATATATAGTAATGTTCAACTGCTCCCTGGAGCAAGAAATTATATACCCACTTTTAATTATGGCCTTAGGATATAATCTACGGTAAATATTTAAGTAACTTTTCTTTTCTTTCTTTTAATAAACTTATTCTTTCTTTTCATATCATTAAATATCGTTATAGGGAAATGATAGCACTAGACAATTTATTAAAGGAAACAATAATAAAACAATTTGACTTCTATTTGCCCGGGCTTCTTCATTATCATGCCTATGTTCAACCATGAAAAGCCAATAAAAAATTTACAACCAGTGGCGGAAACCAAGTAAAATTAATCAAAAGAAGTATATAAAATGGCCATTAAATAAGATTGCTCGAGAAATATTGATTATAATCAAAATCTAAATTTCAAGATTGATCCATGTTTTATACTCAACTTAATTAAAGACTTTGAATTTGTTCAACAACTAATTAAAAATTAGGATATGATTATTGGCTTCATAATTTTTTTTGCAGGGTCTAGCAAAACAACCCTTAATATATTATTATATATCTATGTAAATGTTCAAAGTGTTAAGCATGTAAGAACATGCCAAAATGTGTATTATTGCACAATCCTAAGTTTTTTCAAAATCCTTAATTTACAGTAATTTAATGGAGAATTATGTTATCTATTTATTTACAATCATTTTGGTATATGTTTTCTTAATTTATTGCATAATTTATCAATATAATTGATAAAGTGTGGGAAGAAACGACAAATAATGAATTTTAATTTTTCAATTAATTTTACTTGATCTCAGTAACCAAGGTCGCATGGAGAGAGAGCATAACGAATAAAGCTTGGCATTAATCTTTGAAACAAAATCAATGAGAAATAAGTTTTTATGAAAAAGAACGAATCGATTTTGTATTTTTCAACATAAAATTACCCAAAATTCAATATATTAAAGAAAAGTGAGGCGATATTCGCACTTCACTTTTCTGCAATTGCACTCCATTTACCTTTTTTCTTTTAAAATAAATGACAAGAATGTCCTTGAATGCATTAATGTTTCATCTCTTAATTTATAATGTCATAACTACCATTTATATAACTTTAATTTTTTTATTTTTTACCTTTTTTACTTTCTTTACTATTTATTTTTTCCTTTCTATTTGTTATTTTTCCGGAGGTACTCTCAAAAAAAATAATTTATTCCATACTAATAATTTTATTTTTGGTATTCAAAAGAGATAATTTATTTCATAATGACATTTTTTTTAAAAAAAGTGAAAGGGATATTTATTCAACAAAGTTAACTTTTTTTTCAGTCCTATCAAAAAAGGAAACATTTTTTTTTAGGTAATTTTTTATGGGTCCTATCAAAAGAAATAATTTATTCGATAAAAATAAATTTTTTTTTTCTTACCAGAAGAGATAATTTATTCAATAAAGATAAAAAAAAATTTAATCCTCTTCTTTTAGTACTTTTTTTTTTTTGGATCTTGACAAAAAAAAATAATTTCTTTAATAAAAATATTTTTTGGGGTTTTTTTTTTCATGTCAAAAGAGATAAAAAAAAAATTGGTTAAATAAAAGAGATAAATTTTTTAATAGTTACTTTTTTATTTTTTTGTTCTGGTCAAAAGAGGTAATTTATTCAACATAAATTTTTTTTTTTTTGGTCCTATAAAAAAAAATTTATTGAAATCTTTTTTTTTTTGCCTTGTCAAAAGATTCATTATAGATCGTAGATAAGTAGAGTACATTTAAAATAACAGTTGTGTCATTTAAAAATTAATAATTATTTACTTGTAAAATTAGAGTTAAAATTGTCATTTTATTTAGATTATAATACAAATATTGAAAAGTAAAGTACAAATATCACGTCTCTGAAAGTCGTATATGTACTAAATATGATTTGAATCTCCAGCCATCCTTTCAGGCATTGATCTAGGTGATAGATAAAATATCTTATTCACACGCAGATTAAATAAAATCAATCGGCCTAATAATTTTTCACGAGTTAAAATGTAGAGTGGTGACATAGCAATAATTGTAAACCCACTTGATTGACCCATGGAATTGAGGAATAACAATTCTTGAGTACAAGAAGTTTATAAATTGACTGCTGAAAGATGAATTATTTTATTCTTGTTTCTTTTAATAAATTGTTTAGTTTTGTTCTTTTTTTATAATAATATTTAATGATATGAAAAGAAAGAATAAGTTTCTTAATATAAAAAAAGAAAAGAAAAAGAGTTAATTAACAAATTGTTATAAAATTATTAGATCTAAGACTATAATTAAAAATAAGTATATTTCGCATTGAACTAAGCACTATATTATTTAAAATAAAACAATAGTATTTAACAAAATTTTAATATTTGTTAAAAAAAAAAAAAATTAATATTTCAATTTAAACATATTAGAAGTGTATGCAGAAGCTGTGGGTGCGTGTGAGAGAGAGACAGAGGGCAGTAAACGCACACAAACACACCAACGCATCTCTCTCTAAATCTCGTTCATCGGGATTCCTTCACCACTCTCGAGATTTTCTTTCCCTTAGAAATTTATACTACGTAATTTAGTACTACTACGTATTTGTTTTATTTGATTTGTTCCTCTGTCGACTCGAGGGAGAGACTTTGGAAGCTGGAGATACCCCATGGATGAGGATGAATGGAATTAGTGCATTCCTTGGGTTTGACGGACTTTTCATGAAATACCCACAGGTGAGAGAGAATCCTCCTACAAATTTGCTTTTTGTTTGTTTCCTAGGTTTTTTTTATTTTTTATTTTATTTAATCCATGTCATGTTGAAGTTGCTTATCAACAGCTGTCTGTCTGTGATGGTCTTTATCTTGTTACCCTTTCATTAATTCACATGAAGATTGCTTGTGTGTTTCTATAATTCTCAAGAACCCTCTTTCGCTTTACTGTGATCTGTGAGATCTGGTGAATGTTCTGGGTGGTTAGGATTGTGTTCAAAAGCCACGTCTTTTTTTTTTTCCTTATTCTTATTTATTTATTTATTTATAAAACCCTGTTGTTACTAGGTTCGATGGTTTTGAATTGAATTGGGATCTGCGTAGTTTGGTTACTAGGTTTATTTTTATCTATTCTGTTTAATAATTTACATTCTTATCTTATAGGGAATTTAGGACATCCATCGCCTAGTGTTTTAAACCATTACATTTTGTAGCTCTGCTTTCATGGATTGATCTCTCAAGTAAATAATGGATAGTCTTTGTGAAGAAGAAGATCATTTCTATGATACCCGCGAAGGCATCACCTCTGCTTCCGATTCGGATTCAGACGGAGTGGACAATTTAGATACTGATTCAAGCGTTGTTGATTTGGTGCCTTCTGGAATTGGATACGAGGTCTGGAATAAAAACCCAGAAAGCATTCGTGAACGGCGCCATAAATTCCTAAAATGGATGGGATTTAGTTCAGAAGAAACTGTGAGGGAGGTTGATGAAGATGCAAATTGTGACCAATTGGAAGTGGAGATTGAAAGAGCTAAACAAAATAGTGGGGCTGTTTTGAGAACATTGGGTTTTGATGATGGGCATTCATCCAGCCAATCATCCATCTCTTATCGGTCAAATGATACTGGAGAGTTGTTAGATGGGGCATTGGACGAGAATTTTTCGTGTAGATTCAAAAATTTGGATGATGGGACTGAGTTCATTGTGGATAAACTGGGTTTGGATGGTTTTCTCACGAGACTGCGTGAAGTGGGCTCCAACCGTTTGATTACCTTTGAAGAGTTCGAGAGAACTCTGGGTTTATCCCCTTTGATTCAACCAGTCATGCGAAGACAAGTTGAAGAGGTTTCTGGTCAAAGGGAGGTAATGAAGCAAGTGAAGAGGGGATGGCTGAGGAGATTAGGTGTTGTGGCCTGTGTTGTGGATAGACAAGTTGAAGCTGGTAATTCAAGACCTCATGATTCATATCCAATTTCTGGGGTTGGGACTAAAAAAATTAGAGTTCGCACTGTCAGGAAACGGTGCAAGGAATTTTCAGCCCTTTACATGGGACAAGATATCTCAGCCCATAAGGGTTCAATTTTGACAATGAAATTTAGCCCTGATGGGCAGTACCTCGCAAGCGCTGGTGAAGACGGCATTGTGCGTGTATGGCAGGTGATGGAATCAGAAAGATCACACGAGTTTGATTTGTCTGACGTTGATCCTTCATTTGTATACTTCACAGTTAATCATCTTTCCGAACTAGTACCCCTCTATGTGGATAAAGAGAGAAGGGTTAAACCGAAGAATTTGAGCAAATCATCTGATGCAGCTTGTGTAGTTTTCCCTCAGAAACTTTTCCGAATATCTGAGAAACCCCTTCATGAATTCCATGGGCACTGTGGTGAAGTCTTGGATCTCTCCTGGTCAAAGAATAAGGTTGGTATGTCCATAGAAGCAAATCTTTCTAGTTTCCTAAATTGAATTGGCTTCTCACGATAGTTCTACTTTATGCAGTGTCTTCTTTCATCCTCCATTGATAAGACTGTTCGCTTGTGGCAAGTTGGATCTGATGAATGCCTAAAAGTCTTTATCCATACTGATTATGGTGTGCCTTTCTTTCCAATGTGTTTTTTATTATATATGTCATTTATTTTGATTGTTCTTTTAGAAAATCTTGATCTGGATACCTTCTCATAGCCTTTTCTGTTACTGCGTGAGACAGTTACATGCATTCAGTTTAATCCTGTGGATGATAATTACTTCATCAGTGGCTCCATAGATGGGAAAGTACGCATTTGGGCAGTTCCTTCTTGTCAAGTTGTTGATTGGACCGATGTAACAGAGATAGTAACGGCTGTGTGTTATCGCCTGGATGGAAAGGTTTGGTAATTTGTTGTTTTTTTTCACTTGTTGAGATGGTAATGTGGTATCGGCAAGCAAAAGCAATTATTAGTCATTTTACTTCCTATTGCAGGGTGGAATAGTTGGCTCCTTGACTGGAAATTGCCGCTTTTATGATGCATCAGGTATGCGTTCAATTTCTCAGATTTTAGTACAATAGTAAATCGCAGGGTTTCCTATATGTTGTTTTAGTAGAATTTGACATGCTTGGGGTACATATGGACCATTGTGCTCTCTGGCAGTGCTTATCTCCAAGTATTGCCTAATATTGCAAGAGAGCTTTTCTCCCTGGATACATTTTAAGTCTATCTAATGGTATCTCTCATCAACATTTGAACCACTAATTTAATCTTGTGCGTGTGTGTGTGAGATCGTTTTATCTGTAGTAGCCGAACCTATGCATGAGTAGTTTTTAGGTAACGTACACAGGGATTGAGGACACTCATTTGAAATACTTCTTCACAAAGTAAAGTTGAAAAAAAAAAAAAAAAAAAAGAAAAAAAAAAAAGAAGAGTAAAAACAATGAAAATAAGCAATTGTGGGGTTCCTTTGTAGCAGAAGATCTGAGTCCTTAAGATGTAGAATTTCATCATGTACTTGAGCACCATTGTTGTTTGTTACGACCAACAGCTGCGGAGCAAGAAACAATTACGAAACACAACATAAAAGTAAACACGCCACACACAAAGATTACAAAGACGTATGTGGTGCAGCACAAGTTGTACCTATGTCCACGGGGAAGATCCGGCAAAAGATTTCACTATGCGAAAATCCGGAGATTACAAGTTTCAGCCCCCATACCTAAGCTCTCACTCTCACCCTCACTTGCTTTCAGCGATTTTCAGTATTCTCTTTTCATTCCACCCCAAACCCTAAACACCCCTTATATACCGGGCTACAAGATAGTACTAAATAGGGTGCATGACCCGCAAGTGAAAAAAAGGGGTCAAAACTGGGTTGCAACACGACCCGGTCCAAAACAAAATTCGGGCCACAATATCACACTTTTCATCATAGAGAAGAAGAAGAAAAAGAGGTCAAGATGTTTCCGTTTGTCAATTTTATTAGTATGTGGACCGGAAACTAAGTTTAGTCGATGACATTATGTTTATCAGCAAGTTGTTAAAGCGCTAGCCTCATTTTTCATTATTAACTTAAAATTCCATTACTATTACATTTTATTTGTAATTTTAAGATTTTTCAAATTTTTTATTATTTTATCATTTAGTTTTCTTAGCATTTTGAGAGGTGCTATTACATGGATCAAGGTATGTGTGTCATGTGTATTAGTGCGTGTGTCTGTCTGATTATCAAATCCTTAATTCTAAGGACATATGGGGATTGGGGACATTGCTAAGTATTCATAGTTTCTAAAATTCTTCTTTCACTTTGTGATGAAAAAAAAAAAGTATTTTTTCATATATATAAAGTAGAGTGTTCAACATTCGCACCCACTTATTTTAGAGAAATAATGTAACAAAAGGAACATAATAAAGATATTTGTGCTCAATTATAAAATTGACTTTAATTATTTAAATATGTTTTAGTTGCATGTCAAACAATGCATTTCTGACACATCCCATATCCAAACCCAAGTTTTGTGTATCCAAAAGGCTCCTTTACGCATTTAGAAGAGTCCATGTGATGTTGGTGAGGTGTTGATGGATTGAAATTTTAGGTTTTTGTTTGCCACATCAACCTGTATCAATGTGCTATTTCAGAAAAGAAACTGAAACGAATTTTGTCATTTTAGAAAGCTATGTCCTAGTTCTAATACCTGATCTGGAGCAAGCCTTCGATAATGGATAGTATTTATGTTTTGTGCATCAGATTTTTTAATTAATAATTGTGTAGCTAGCTGCTGTAAATGGTATTAGAATATCTTGCTTCTGAGATAAGGCATGATTAATTTGAAACCTAGCTTGCCATTTGTTTCCTCTTGTTCGGAAATAGAAAGTATAAACAACATTAAGTGACAAGGCAATACAAATTTCACCTTTTAATAATTATGGGTTCTGTGCTTATAATGCTCGTACATTATCTGCTATGGAACAATAATCCTGTCAAATATGTTGGTCTAATGTAATCTGGCTGAACGTTGTACTTTAATTCTTTATCAATATGGCTGTCAGGCTTAACACTATGTGCAGCCATGCTTATCATTTTTTATGTGGATATGATTTGTAAGATACTAAATTGGAAGGTTTATATTGAAGAACCGGTAATTTAGATCCATGTGATGCTAGTTGGATTACTGCAAGGAAGATTTTGAAGAAATGTCCCATGACCATCTGGATTTATGTTTTAATGAGCCTTTTGTTTGACATTCTTGCCCTCCCCTTTTTAAATAGACAAGCTGGACTTGTCTCTACATACAACTGAAGCAGGAATCTTGTAATGTTGATGGTCCAGCTGTTTCAATGAAAGTTAATAAATCTGCAATTCAATTGACTTCTATTGAAAGTTCTTGTGTTATGATACAGGACGATTGTCTTTACACACACTAACTGATGTATTTCACATATATCAGATAATCGTCTGCAATTGTATGCTCAGATATGCTTACAGAGCAAGAAGAAGTCACCTTTTAAGAGGATAACTGGCTTCCAGGTATCAAATGCCTCTGTTCCTTATCCTTTTTCTTTGTTCATGTCTTTTGTGCTTCATCTTATGTTTAAAAACTCAATAATGTATTGCTTTCACTCTGCAGTTTTCTCCAAGTGACCCAAACAAATTAATGGTCACTTCTGCTGATTCACAGGTGCGTATTCTTCATGGGGTTGATGTCATCTGCAAATACAGAGGTCAGTGCTTGTTTTTTAAAATTAAATGCATTTAGAAATTTATTCTTTGGTAGTCTATCACCTAGTGCATTAAATGCCACGGAGTTCAGAACTACAGATCTTACAATATATTGAATTCAAACTCGACGACAAAAGGCAACAATTTTTTGGATTGTTTATGGTAATATGATTCAAAAACTGGATTGCATAGTCCACATTTATAAAATTGTTGGACCACTAAATAAAAACTCCATACCTTAAACTAGGAAAAAAAAAAGTACTCCATACCTTAATTTATATTCCTTTCAGCTACAACAACAACATAGCCTTTTTCCAATTACTTGGGGTTGGCTACATGAATCCCATGTTTCCATTCCGCTCTATCTATGAGGCCATAGTCTCAGTCAATCCACATGCTACCATATCTTTCTTTACGAACTCTACCCATGTTAACTTTGGACTCCTCTTCCCTTAGTAATTACCCTCAATGCAGAGTTTATGTTAAACTGTCAGCTGTTTTACTTTTTTCTTTGTTTCCTTGTATTCCGTGTCTCTTCAGGGCTTCGTAATGCAGGAAGTCAAATATCAGCGTCATTTACTTCAGATGGGCAGCATATTGTCTCAGCAAGTGAGGATTCTAATATCTTCATGTGGAATTACATTAGTCAGAATGGGCGTGTGTGTTCCAAAATGAAAAGCAATTTGTCTTGTGAGCGTTTCTTTTCAAACAATGCATCTGTTGCTATTCCTTGGTGTGGAATGACATGTGGAAACTCCATCTTCTCAAATATCTCAGTAGCATCTTCATCCCCTAAAATATCTGTGAACCAACCAAAATATGGCTCAGAATATGGATCTCAGCAATGCCACTTGGGTGATAGTCCACTAAACAAATTGCCGTTCTTCTCACATGATTTCTCTCTAAGCCATGGATTTTTCTCGGACTCCTTGCCAAAGGTATCTGCAACCTGGCCAGAGGAGAAGCTTCAGGCTTCAAGCTCACTTGTGGTCCCATCTGCAATGTGTAAATCTCAGTACAAGCTTCTGAAGAGCTCGTGTCAGAACGTGTTTGGCTCTCCTCATATGTGGGGTCTGGTAATTGTAACAGCTGGGTGGGATGGACGGATCAGAACATTCCAGAATTACGGATTACCAGTTCGTAGCTAAAAATAGAGAGGTTCAGCACAATGTATGTCAAGCCTGTTGTGTTGAAGGAATCTTTGGATGACTTATTTTGCCAAAATGAAAGAACTGAAGCCATGGTTGGTCCACACCTTAGTTTTGTATATGCATGTGCATTTTGAGGAGACCATGAAGAAGCCATGGTGTGTTGACCAAACATTTCAAGGCGTATTTTGATGGAACCAGTGAGCAACTTGTGGCATTGTTCCTTTGTGGAGATTTAGTTTAGTTGAGCATCAAGTAGGATGAGGTAATTTGGGATTTAATACAGTGTAATTATACCATTCTTTGATTTATTTAGTCTCAAAAGAAAAGAGAGGGTGTAGGGGGGGCCGTGTTGAGGTTAAACATGTCAATTGTGGTTTCTGTGGGGTCTTTTTGGAAATCTACATTCAAAAATGCAAGTGAAGAAAGGGAACCCGACGTTAAAACGGTAATCTTGATCTTCCAAAGCCTAACTGATACTTTACTCTTTATGACATTCATCTTAGTGCTATTTTTTGCAACAACTCATTGTGCCTTAAAAACTTTTATTACTCTCTCCATCCCATTTACTCATTTAGTAATGCTCAATAAATTACAAAATATATTCATGGTGTGTTGACAGTAATGTGATGAAGTTTTATATTTAATTAATTTTCTTAGTTTAATTCAAGAAGGGTAAATTAGGAATGTAATAAAGTATAATATATTTATTTTTTAATTGGGACAATTATCTTGGAACAACTAAATATATTTTAAAACAGATGGAATATATAAGATGAACAACTAACGAGCAATTTAGTTATAAGAATTTTTGTTACCTCTCCACTAGTGAATCTATATGACTCCATACTGCAGGAGAGTTGTTGAAATTTTGTTGATTAGCCCTCACCAATCATTATTAGAAATCTAAGTAAATGTGTAAGTTTTATTTAATTTTTTATATATAAATTTTATTCAATATTTTATTTAAGTATCAAATAGTGATTGATCAAGATCTATAGTGTGGGCAATGTGTAATAATTAATTTCCTATTCCAAATGGGGGGTAGAATTTGCAGAAGTTTAATGGTGATGCAATATGCAATTGCTGGCTGTTTAATGGGCCAAAATACACTCGTCCAAGTTGTTTTACATGACCTAATAAGTCCATGCCAATCATTGGTAAACAAAAGTTTTGCATGAGACTGGATTAACTTCTATTTCTAGCGTGACAGCCCAATAAAGATCAATGTACGTTGAAACTGTAGTAGTAGTAATGATCACTTCATGAATGACAGAGCTTCGGTTTTGGACTGTGCAAATAAAATTACGCAAAAGGACCAATGTATGGTCGTGCTTCATGACTTTTTTGCTTATTTAAGTTACGGGAGCAAAAGCAGGAGTAAATTTGAGAGTGGGAGTGCAAGTGTCAGAGTAGCAAAATTAAATCATAAATAATTAGAATTTGAGTCAAAAAGCGTGCGGAGCGTGAAAGTGAGAGTACGCTCGGAATGTGAGATCAACATCCGTTAAAAAAAATTGTGTGACTTGACTTTCAGTGCAACTCTGAAGAGCTTAAATTTAACAATTTTCTCTTTTTCATTCTTTTTTATTTTTTATATATATTTTTTGCATCACACACACACACACACATACATATAAATGTGGAGGGCCGAGGAGAAGGGCAGATGAGGAAGAAGGGTAAGTAGTCAGCTGCTTGAATACATTGTTGGCGAAAATAAGAGGAACATAATTGTCACGTGGTCCCTTGAAAATAAGCATACGTCAGATTACAATTTGGTATAAGACGCGTTCCATCATATGAGGAAAACTTCAATAGATCCTAATGGTTTAAAAAGGGAACCTCAAGGTTGTGTTTTCCTTTGTGCTGTTCAAGAGCATCAACATCAGCTAGCTCTCAGTACTAGCTAGCACCATATATATATATATATATATATATAGCTGTATATTAGAGATAGAGAGAGAAATAAATCAATAAGAGAGATGGGTAGGGCTCCTTGTTGTTCCAAGGTCGGATTGCATAGAGGTCCATGGAGTGCAACAGAGGATGCATTGCTTACCAAGTACATTCAAGCTCATGGTGAAGGAAATTGGAGATCTTTGCCCAAGAAAGCTGGTAATTAACTATGTCCATCGATCACGTACCATATATATATATTTAACCCCGTGCATTTCCTAGCTATTTTTATAATTATTTTCTTCAAGTATTTAATTGTTGCTTAATTAGCTAAATATAATCATCTCTTTCTTTGGTTCCTGAAGCATAATGATCAACACACATGACACACACATCATATGTATATATATATATATTAATGTCTACATGATGGATGAAGGTAGGTCTACTTAGATGTGGAAAAAGCTGCAGGCTAAGATGGATGAACTACTTAAGACCGGACATAAAGAGAGGGAACATCAGCCCGGAGGAAGATGACCTTATTGTCAGAATGCATGCCCTTCTGGGCAACCGTTGGTCTCTCATCGCAGGAAGGCTTCCCGGTCGAACCGATAACGAGATCAAGAACTACTGGAACACCCATCTCAGCAAAACCCAACAACAAACTAATGATCCCCGAAATACCCACAAAAAATCATCATCACAACCGTCCAAGTCCACCAAGAGCAGCAAAAACAAAAGCAAAAAGGCCAAAATTTACATTCCAAAGCCCACTAGGTTTCATTGTTTGTCAAGGAACAGCAGTTTTGATTGGACAGACACAGGCACAGGCGCAGGGACAGAGGTTGTAGTAGACGATGATATTATGAATGTGCCGTGGTCGTCGTCTAACAAGGTGATCACAGACAATGATGATGACAATAATCATGAGGTTGGCAGCTTTTTTATGTTAGGTACGGGCAATGATGATCATGGTGTTGTTAACGGCTCAGAATATTGTCAGTCTGCAGGCAACGGCAACACTAGTAGTAGTAGTCGTCGTCTAGAGAATGTGTTTGATGAGTATCTACGTACACTTCTGAATACAGATGAAGAGGATGATCAACTACTACTACTTCATGATGATCAGTTAGATTCCTTTGATATGGACTCATTATTCTTTATGTGATCCATCATATGTTCGTACGTAATTATTAGTACTGGCCGGTCTAAGCTACTTTGATTATTTCACGTGCTCACCAGCTTCCTCCATCTGGCCGTTAATGCCAACTTCGTTTGGAATTACTTCAATTGCGAGTATTAGTGTTGTTTATTTCTGTCTAGGTGCATGTTAATTAATGTAATAAGGTTATATGTGTGTGCAATTAGATATGTTAATTAATTGTGTTTTCCATTGCTTGGATTAATTTCCTTAATTTAAATAAAAGGGAAACATTAAAAAAATGTAAGTTGATCTTCTTCTACTATTAATTAAAAAAAAAAGAGATTAATTAATGTGTTGAAAAGTACATACTGTAAGGGCCCGTTTGGGAAGTATTGTGTGGTGTAGTGTAATGCTCTAACCTAGAACAGAACAAATGTTTTGTAATGTAGTGTTCTGAAATGAGAGCAAAATATGTTTGTGATGAAAATTTGGAGTGAGAATTTTGGAATTGAAATTGATTTTTTTTTTTTTTTTTTTTTTTTTGATTAGAATAAATTAACTACAGAGCTTGATTAGTTTGCAAAACAAGAATTACAGAGCTTGATTAGTTGATTTAGAAAAAAAATTAAAACAAAACCCATACACACATAATTGCAGTTGCAAAAAGAGAGAGACTAGGGCAATTGGGAGGTTGAAATAATTTGCCCTAAAAATGGATTTGCATAGTTGAGAACGAGAGATGGAGGCGTTTTGGAGGCTGAAATGATTTGCCCTAAAAAAATTAAAACAAAACCCATACAAGTTTGCAGTTGCAGAGAGAGAGAGAGAGCGAGAATAGAGATGGAGGCGTCTAAGAGGCTGAAATGATTTGCCCTAAAAAAATTAAAACAAAACCCATACAAACAAGAATTACAAAGTTTGCGAACGGCAAACCAGAACTAGAACAGTGGACCCATACACACAATCTGAAAAAAAATTAAAACAAAACCCATACACGCAAGCTAAAACAAGACCCATACACACAATCAAAACCCATACAAACAAGAATTACAAAGCTTGCGAATGTCGAACCGGAACTGGAACAGCGGGCGATGGAAACTAAAAGATATGGGTTTTGATTTTTTTGAACAATCTGAAATAATATGCCGATATGGGTTTTCAACTTCACAAATCTAAAGATTTTGTAGGGGGGGGGGGGGTGCAGGTTCCGAAGTTGAGAACGAGAGTACAGATGGAGGCGGGTTCTGAACTTCTGATCCTTGTAGATTTTGTGTTTGCAGTTGGAGAGAGAGCGAGGGAGCAAGTTCCAGAGTTCGAGAACGAGAATAGAGACGGAGGCGATCGGGAGGCTGAAATGATTTGCCCTAAAAAAAAAATTATTATTATTTCTGCTACAGTAAAAAATAAAAATAAAAAAATGGGCCTGGAACAACATAGGACACCAAATTATTGTTCCAGCTTTTGAGCCGAATATTGGATTTGTTCTGAAAGTGTTCCACTATCGTTGAGAACACAACAAGGCGGGCCAAACAATATGTGTTCTAAAAATGAGTACTGTAGCACTGTAAAAAACAACACAGAACACGGTAGAACAAACACCAACCAGGCCCTAAATACCACCATGATAACATATGATTACAGCAAAGAATTGGAACTACTCTTCTCGGACACTATGCATATACACCAGATGGACCCACTTAGATATTGATAATTCCTGCAGGCCGGGAAAGAACCCTAAATGAGCATGCAAGATAGAGTTCCTAATTTAGAGAATAAATTTAAAAAGAATTAGCCTAATTAATGTCTTCTCTTATATATATATATATATATATATATATATATATATTGTGGGATGTTGATAGAGGGAGGACTCGGATCTCGATCCATTCGCAAACACAAGGAAATTTTAGTAATGAGCAGTACGTACGTAGTATTACTAGTAAATGAAGGTAATTAGTGATCAATTAATTGCTAGCTGCAGTAGTCAGCCCTCTCCTACTATATATATATATGTATATATTCAATTCTTCGGAAGTAGCAGCCCTCTCCTACTATATATATATATATATATATTCAATTCTTTGGAAGTAGCTCCTACTATATCTATATTCTTGAGAGCCTTGGAAGTTGCCAACTGAGCAACACAATTGAATTCTTGATGAATGTAACGTGTAACACACAACATAACTATAATATAGGATGATAAATATATATTTGAAACGGCTCTAAACCAACAAAACTACCATTCTTACCAAGTGCAAAAGATTCGGGAAGAATGAAACATAAATGAAGCCCAATACAGGCTACACTTCCCATATTACATAATTTTAGGATTGAGAAATTAAACCATCCTCTCTTTTTTTAAATGAATAAAGAGTATTTATAATTTTTAATTAAGATCAATTGAAGATCAGAAATTCATTATGCATACTATGATAATTGAAGGGTCCGAACTCAGTCAATCACTATTCAACGTACAAGCAAAAAATTAAAGTTGATACATTTACTTATGTGTCTAATTTTCACCGACTAAAATTATGTAGTCCCGAACCAAATAAGAAATAAGAAATATTTAATTGTCTAATATTTGGCTCAACATTGCCCCTATAGTTTGTAGATGATCATGTGTTGATTTAGGATTTGACTAAACAAAAACTTTACCTACAAATATATATATATATATATATATATATATATATATATATATATATATATACAGTTAGATTGCAACGTGCATGAAGCATATGGGAATTTGATTGAGGTGTTAGATGGAGAAGTATAATTCCCTTAATCAAAGATATTTGGGGGCGTGACAGCCGACAAGATCCATCACAAAATTATTAAAAGAAGAACCTAGCTGTTGAGATTCATAATCATAATCAGGCAACATATATTCTAAATTAATTTCGTCCACCACCTCTTGAGGGAGGGGTCTTTATCACACAAGAAGTAGTTAATCAAAAAATATCAAGTGATTGGATGATTTTCAATTTAGGAAACAATCACTGTCTAGAAAACTAATTAATACTACTTTAAATTAACGTACATGGCAGTTCAGAAAATTTTGTTTGAATTAAATTCAATGAATCTATAATTTATAAGCTTACGCATTCAATCTGCAGATATTTCCAACAGTACATTGTCAGATGATTAATTGCAATGCAATATTGTCAATGATGAAAATGAAATTGAAAATTAATGGACCAATTGAAGGAACCCAACCCATTTGTCATGATAGGACATTAGTTTTGTTTTGTTCATGAATGACTTAGTTGAACTCGTGATCACCTACAATTCTAGAATTGATCGATAGTCCATATATATACTGGAATTATTTATGAGAGAGAAAAAATAGTCAAGAATGGTTATGCAATTTCATGGTCCCAGTAATTGGGTCATCAATTTGACGTTGATTCTTGCTATATGAAACGGATTTTGGCGCAGGTGGCCGGACAGAGGACGTCCACCACCTCATAATTTGTTCTATCGGCTTTAACTTGAGCCGAATACGCCCTACGAAAAAAAAACTTTTTCTTCTGATATTTAGGCGTAAAATATATATATTTTTTTGTAGGCTTTAACCTTGAGCCGAATACGCCCCACAAAAAAAAAAAAATTTCTTTTGATATTTAGGCGTAAAATATATATATATTTTTGTATTTAATTGTTTTAAAATATTTATTAAAAAAAATAATATTAAAATTTAATAAAAATAATTTATTCATTAATTTTTAATAAGTTAAATTATTTTACACACACCATTCTATGTATTCGGCCTCAATGGTGTTACTATTATTTTAGGGATGCTCTTGTATTCAAAGATAGGGAATAGTGCCCCCGAGGCGTAGCAGGGATAGTAAGGTGCTTGCATGCGGCTGTCGTGACCTGTGTTCAAGTCCTCTCAAGATAGAAAATAGTGCCCCCGGATAATAAGGTGCTTGCATGCGACTGCCGTGGCCCCATGTTCAAGTCCTCTCAAATTTAATACTTCCCTGACTTACCGAGTGTACCATTGGGGCGGTACTCTACATCCCCAGGTTTGTAACCTTGAGTTGGTCCCGAAGGAGCTGCCAAGGGAAGTTCCTGTTGCTAACCAAAAATATATATATTTATATATATTTCATTTTTCAAGTCTTATGGGAGACATCTTTTCCTTTTTTAGAAATGCATCTTGCATCTCCCCGCTCTTCTATCCATTTTTTATATTTTTAGGTTTGAAAACTTGCTAGTTTCTAAAATCTTGTAATCTCCGGTAAGAGATTAAAACACTGTTTTGTCAAACTCTATCTAGGGCGTTGGAATCCAATTCCAAACTCATCAAGGTAGTGTAATTCTCTTTAAAATTGATTGTTTTACAGTAGTCAGCAGTAGTCTGTTGTTTTTAATTACTAATTGGTTTTTGCTGTGGTAGGGTTTCAGGCAACCATTGGATCGGAGGATACAATGGCAGAAATTCGTATCGAAATACTGTTGTTTTCAGGTACTCTCTCTCTATGTGTTCAAATTTCTCAAATTTATTTACTGTATATATATATGGTTTTCATTGAAGATACTGATTGCCATCGTCTCGCAAGGTTTTTTTTTTTTCTTTTCTTAATTTATACCCGTTCTACTTCATTGTTACTATTTCAATGAATTAATTAATAATAATAATACTTATACACTTCTTAAAACCTAATGTGTTCTGTTCTGTTCTATCTTACATGATTAATTAACGCGTGAGATCCGATGCTTTCTATATGTTGGTGGGGACCTGGAGTTGACTTTTTTACTTAAACAATTACAGATTAATGATCTTTAACATTGCCCATGTGCTCAGGTTATTTAATTAATACTATATATGCATCCCCTATTACTTTATTCTTATACAATTCTGCTGTATTTAGTAACCTTCCAGGTGGTGAATTGCTCAAGATTCTTTCAACTTTTTTATTTATTTTTTTAATTTTATATGTTTTAGATTTGTAAATATTTTTACTAACCCCAATTTTGGGAGCAATTCCGAGTCCTGATTCCGTAATGCTTTGAGTAAGATCAAACCCTTGTGCAATTTTCAATCGCATTGTATATACCATTTTTAACCTGAACTATCTCACATTCAACATTATTACATAAATAAATAGGTGCTACTTCAACCAACTCGCAAATGTATTCTTTCTAATACCATACACCACAAAAACTCATCTTCAACTCTGTCAGTCCATCCATAACTAAAACGCAAAAAAATAGGAGCTTGTTAAGGAAAAGTTTCTTGTTTGTGTTGGCATATTTTGCGAGCAAAAGTTGCCTTGATCTACATGTGGTGTTGCTTCAATGGAATGTTCACATCTACGTTGAAGCCATGATTGTCAATCGAAGACTGAGGCAAAGGATCACATCTATACCTTGCTTCAGCATTGTTCAGATGGACTTTGCCAGGACAAGTGAAGCTACTAATGAGTTTAGTGAATGTTTTGACAAACTTGAGAATCATATTCTTCGACATTTGTATCTTCTAGTTGGAAGAGCTTTGAATTCTGAAACAAAACTATCCATGACATTAGAAGAAGATTGAAGATGCAAATTACTTTAGAAATTGACATTCTTCTTAATTATGGAAGCTGGTGGAAAGATTATTTTGGATGCCTTTCCCATTTTAAGTAATAAGAGCTAAATGCATTTCCTCTTGGAGAAGAAATTAGTAGCACAAAACTTAGGTGTAATTTTGTGCAGGTTAGTGTGCTTTAATTGAAAGGAGTACTTGTAGTCTGAATCATTCATAGAATTCCATGAAGTTGTTACTCTACTAAAACAACTAAAAGTTCAATTTGTATTCGGAGTCAAAAACACAGTTTGGGCAATTACTTTGATGGATCATTTCTCTGTCCGGTGCTTAGTATGGCAATCTGGTAACATATTGGTAATTCTTATTAATATTTAATGGCTATAGAGCAATTGCATTTGCAAATAACACCATTTCTCTTGGTATATATATTGTACAACTCTAGAAAGCTTTCTCTGAATCTCATGTGTCTAGGTTGATGCGGTGCATCCTCTTTCTTATATGTACTTGTTAAGTTGTTAACCTACTTGTACCTACAGGCTACAGCTGTTGACATAGTACTTATAGTAAAGAATGTTGAAATTTATCACTTCTATTTCAGGTTTTGAACTGCAAGATTAATCTTTCTTGAAGTGGTCAATTGGTGGAGCAGTTATGTAAATCACATTAGCTTATGTTGAAATTGTCAAAACGTCAATTGAATTCGCTAGTAATACAACATTCATTCATTTTTGGATATGGGATTTGTTTGTATCTATAAATGTAGTTCTGCTTATGCATAATAATACTCCTACCTGCTGCGGTAATATTTTGCAATTATAATTGATTTCTTTTACCTTTAAAGTTTAAATAACAAATTATTCTAAAAATCTACGATGTAGAAAAAGACTCTAGTATTTGGGGTCTAATACAGGTCTTCCCTCTCTAAGTGAATAGTTATCCTACAAGTCCTCTTCAAATCCTTCTACAGGTCCAGTTGTTGGCTTATTGCATTTCATCTGCTAGTTCTAGATCACAACCAGGTCTAACATCTCTGATCTTGTATTCTTTTGGTAAAAATTTTGTTTTCCCTATTGTTATCAAGCATAAAACAGAAGTGAAGAGAGAAATGAAACACGAAGAACATAAAGATATTACGTGGTTCAGCCACTAGGGCCTACATCCATGACACAAAAAGCCCAACGGGGTACATCACTTTATAATATATTCTCTCTTAATCTTTGTATGCAATGATCAACTCTATTTATAGGTGAAAGAATAGAGGTGATAAATATGGAAAATACATTAATGGAAGATTCCTAAAATCAGTACCATAAATCACTTTAATCAATATTCTATCATAGGCTAAAATCTCTCCTATTATATTCACATATCAAATATTCTGTCAAAGAGTAATTGAAGGGTTCCTATAATAATATTTTCCAAATATAGCATCTTCTAACACTCCTCTTCAAGCTGAAGGGTGTATGGAAATAACGCTCAGCTTGCATATCAAATCATGAAACAGATCCTTTTCTAACGATTTGGAAAAAGACAATAAAACTGCTAGAGACATGGTGAATGCGAAGAGCAATGTTACCGAACACACCGGCAGCCCAAACAAGTCCACATAGCACCGAACACATGGCGAAGGTGACGAACAATGCTACCGAACACACCGGCAACCCAAACAAGTCAATAAAAACTGCCGGTGACACGGCAAAGACGAAAACATTACCGCCAAACAAATCAGCAGCCTAAACAAGGCACAAGTAGCACCGAGAAACCCTTAGCAACATTTCAAATGCTAAGGGAATACTCCAAAATGGGGGTCCGAACCTAGAAAGAAAATTAGGCTCTGATACCATGTTGTAAAGCATAAAACAAAAGTGAAGAGAGAAATGAAACACGAAAAACACAAGGATATTACGTGGTTCAGCCAGTAGGGCCTACGTCCACAAGACAAATAACCCAAAGGGCTACATCACTTTATAATATATTCTCTCTTAATCTTTGTATGCAAAGATCACCTCTATTTATAGGTGAAAGAATAGAGGTATAAATTTTGTGTCATACACAGATGTTTACTTATATTTGAAGAATAAATGAAAGACAAACGTCTAAGTCTAGAACTCTTGGTGTATCAATTAATAAACAGTAAGTTTTGGACCTAGGAGGGACTCAGCCCATAACCTTTGCTTTGTAATTTTAAGATTCTAAAATGGCATTTATTGAATTATTGGTAATTGACGGTAATAAAATTTCCCTATGTTGTCTAAAGTCTACCATTGAGCTGAATCGGGGAAAAAAGAAAAAGAAACTATCTTTACATGGGGAATATATGTGTATGCATGAATATGCCATCTAAATCCTTAAGCTCTATCATATTGTAGATCAGCTGTGATTAAGTAGCTCAAGATCCAAAGATTGGAGTTAATTGCACTTTCTGGTGAGAACAAGTTAAACTTGTTGGTCAACCTCTCACAATACCTAATTTTAACTTGTTGGCCAGACTCTCACAATACCTAAACCGTGTAATTTTGCCGCAACATTAACTACCGATTCATGAAAGCAGCAGAAGAGATTGGAATATTGGCATGTGTAATATTGTGGAAGCTGAAGCAATAAAGAGCTTTCCTTAATGAATGGTGGGAACTAGAGATAAGCTAGTTGACGTTATATCATGGTAAAAAGTTTCATGGGAAAGTTAATTTACCACATTGTGGATGAGATTCAGAGAGCTATACAATTGCAAGGAGTCGGCCTATCATATTTTTCTCTCTCAACATTACAGAAAGTTTTACACAAAATCTGCTAATAATTAAGAACTTTATGAGCATGCGTTCGAACTCTCGGGCAACATTGTTTATTCAGAAAAGAATGATTGCAGTTTTCAACATTGTTCTAGTGGATTCTAGAAGGACAAGTAAAGCCACTTTAAAGGGTACAGAATTTTTGGCAAATCGAGAATCACATCATTCAATGTATGCATCTTCTAGTTTATCAGGCTATCACAATATAAGATTAGAAATTGCTATAATAATTGGTCACTCTTTTAAATGACGGGAACATTAGGAAGGTCCTTTTGGAGTAATAAGAGCGAAAAATGTATTTTCAGTTAGAGGAAAGGCTTATCAAAAAATTCGGAGTGATTCTGTGCATGCAAGTGTGCAATAACTAAAAGGACTAGTTGTAACTCTAAATTATCCATAAAACTCAGTAAAATAATTATTCTGCTACAACAACTTATGTTGTTTTAAATTCAAAATCTAAAAAAACTGAGACATTGTTTACTACTTGTGTAGTTGGATTCTTTATCTTGTGCTTTACTAGGGCAAACTGGTTTCACAATGGTTTTTCTTCTGTAGTGCCTAATAGCTATGATGCAATTGTGTTTACATTGCCCATAAAATTAGCTTTCTTAGTAGATATGTTATGCAACAACTTCGCAAAGCTGTCTACCAAGCGCATATGTCTGGGCTTTTTCATTCGTATAAATACTTGTTAGCATCCTTATACCTCAATATTCAGATTTAGTCCCACAAGTAAAGGATTTGTTGAAATTTTTGCCTTTAGAATGCTCAGAGTTTGAACCGTAAGTTTATTTTTCCTAAAGAGGTCAACTAATGAAACAACAGTGTTGGTCAAGGACTGAAGCAGTAATGAGATCGCTAGTAAAACATCTATTCCTGTTTGGACTAAGGGAGACCGTTTGTTTCTATAATTTAGCTTTATTTATGCATAATTATTTATACCTGCTGTGGTTATCTTACTAGCTTTCACATGAATTTAGATAATTTATGATGTCATCAATTATAAACATTTAAAATGCAGCAATGAGAGAGAGCTTGGCTTATTATTTCTCTGAAGTTTAGACTACAGTAATTGTGGCCTACTCTCTAGGTGAAAAACTAACCAAGGAGCCCTCTTTATATCCTTCTGTGGGCACTGTTGCTGCATTCTTCTGCTAGTTCAAGATCCCGACCAGGTCAAGATCCTTTCTGATCTTCTATTCATTCTATGATGTTTTTGTGTTTCCTAAAGTGTAGGATTCTAAGACAGTAGCATTTGGTGAATATTGGAATTTGATTGTAATGAAATTTGCTAATATTGTGTGTGCGTGTGTTGGTGTGTGCGTATAAAACAACTCAACACAACTCATTTTCTTGACCTTATGAGTACAATGGGAAACGAATTTGTGTGTGTGCATGAATCTGCAGGCAAACGCCATCTCTAAATCTCAGATTTCATCATATTATAGATCAACATCAAAATAAAGAATTGCTAGAATATATTTGTGTTGAAAGTAGTAAACAAACTTTTTTCCTACCTGTATCTGATGCAAGGCGGTTGAGAAAAATGCAGTGGGTGTACGTAATCCTCCCATGCCAAAGCATCTTACCTAAATGAGTATTTCAACCAATGTCTGCATGAAAGATGGACGTTGGAGATCGAAGGCTATTAGTAATATTAAGGAAGTATTACTTGTTTCCCAACTGACATTGTGGAATACTCATTTGAGCAAGAGGCCTTTCCAAGGAAGGGTTCTCTTCATATTGGGAAGAAAGAAGGGGTGGGCTATCCCTTATGTATGTATTGTATCTACCAAGACTAGTAATAGCTTGAGAGTTGGTTGTACCAGCCTTATGCCTTGTGTAGTATGGACTCTTGGGTCGTTGAATGTGGCCTGTTATTCTTTACCTATTTTTATTAACTAGTATGTTTACTTAGCTGAATATTTAAAGGGAGTGAATATATTTTCAAGGCTCAATAAAAGTTTACTAGTATAAATTATGTCCATCCTTGATCTTGAGTTCATAATTGTGGAATGATAAAGCTTCACAATTTTATCTGACTTTGCAGGGTCGAAAGCAGTAAATGCCATACACTTGAGGCTGTAATTTACTTTCAGACCATGCCCTCGATCCTTGTACCTTATTATGCTTCCTTTTCAGTTTGTCTTCCTTACTCTTCTTCCTCTCTCCAATTCTTTATTGTGATACCATGTGACTTGAGCTTGCTGGAAGGTAGCTAGCTACCCATCATTCAAATCCTTAGTTTGGTGGTGTCAATCTAATACGTTGTTAATGCTTTGATGACTTTCATAAGATTGTTTGTTCATATTCGTCGAAGGCTCGTTTGGAGGAAAGGACCTGCTAGCTAGCTAGCTTTGCATTTATTGGCACCCTTGGGTGTTTATAGGCCACTCGCACCTCCTTATTTTTCAAAGTTTCTCTATATTATTGGTCGGTCAAGTTTCCTTTTTCCTTTTAAAATTTATAGAATAGTGCACCAATTCTTAACATTCTTCTTCAATATTTTTTTCCCCAATTTAATTTGTATCGTTTTAAGCAAATATATGGTAATAATATATTAAACTACATATTTTATAAAATTTTGATAATAGAAATAAATTTTTGATAGATTTTTTTCTCTATTCATGTAGAAATTTTATTACTTAATAACTAGAGTTATAAATCTATTTTACTTGTTTGATTTGAAAAAAAAAAAAAGAAAAAGAAAAAAAAAAGAGAACATTCTTCAATTTAACTTTATTTCAAGACAAGAAACAAAGATATCATTATATTCACAAAAAAACATGAAGCTCACATACTTTCTCCAAGTGATTGTTTGCACCTAGTAAGAATTGTTTTTGAGACTTAATGCTTCATGAATCACCAAAATTTTATTATCATACTGAGATAATTTTAGATACTTTTCATTTTCCTTAAGATGTAAACAATAATAATAATAATAATAATAAAATTAATGGAGTATTATATTTGATGATGTGTGGTGAATCCATTGGGGGTAAGTGCGAGAAATACTTATGAAGTATACATTTCATAGCACTTTTACCTCTTATTTAAAAAGGTGTGTAAAAAGCATTCCTATTCTTTTTAATTTGTGCGAAAATACCTTTTAATTAATATAATACCCATTTTATCCTTTTACTCTTCCAAAAATGTCCCTACCATTTTTGTTGAATCTCGATTGTTGCAGACTCCTTCAATTCTTGTTGCAGATGGAGAGATGGTGGCAGTGGTGGATGAAGAGATGGCTGGCAACGGTGACTGTGAGATCTAGCTATGGTTGTTTAAACGAAATAAATGTCCCCAATTTGCATTTACCTCGTTTGAATCGAACATCAGATCAAAGGAATCAGTTACAGACTTATACATTTATATATACTAGTAAAATAGCACGTGCGATGCACGTGATGAATGTTTTGTAACTTATCGAATTTTTTTTTTCATATATTTTTTAATTATTTTATAGAAATTATTTTATTTTATTTATATATATCTTTGTCTAATTAGATTTTCTTTTATTAAAAAACTCATAATAAATAGATAAATGTGATAGAGTTTTATTTTAGAATTAATTAATAATATTTTTTTTATATCAAACAATAAATATTGAAATACTAAAATTCTTTACACAGAGGCTATATGTGATAGAGTTCTATTTTAAAATTAATTAATAAATTTTTTAATATTAAAAAATAAATACTAAAATGCTAAAACTCTTTACACTTTTATATTTTATTTATATGTATTATTATATTATTATATATTTTCTTTATTATAGAGTTTTATAGAAAATAAAATAAGTAATTTGTTATAGAGTTTATAAAATAATTTGTCATTTGTTGTAGAATTTTATAGAAACTATTTTATTTTCTTTAAATATATCCTTCTCTAATTAGATTTCCTTTTATTAAAAAACTCATAATAAATAGATAAGTACAGATTATATGTGATACAATTTTAAAGAAAATAAAATAGTTAATTTGTGATAGAGTTCAGGTAATTTGTGTTAGTGTTTTATAGAAACTCTTATAATATATCTTTATTTAATGTGATAGAGTTTTATTGAAAATAAAATAAATAATTTGTGGTAAAATTTTATAGAAATTAGTTATTTTCTTTATAAATATTTATATATCCTTGTCTAATTAGATTTTCTTTTATTAAAAAACTGTAATTTGTGTTAGAGTTTTATAAAAAGTATTTTATTTTTTATATCAATTAATAAATATTTTTTATATTAATAATTCTTGTCTAATTAGATTTTCTTTAATTAAAAAACTCTTGATAAATAGTAATCGGTAATTTGTGTTAGAGTTTTTTTATATAAACTCTTTTAAAAATTTATTTTATTTTCTTTAAATATATCATTGTCTAATTAGATTTCCTTTTATTAAAAAACTCCTAACAAATATATGAATACCGGTTATATGTGATAGAGTTTTAAAGAAAATAGAATAGGCAATTTGTGATAGAGTTTTATAGCAATTATTTTATTTTTCGTAAATATATTCATAATAAATAGATAAATAAATGTTATTAGTGATATAGTTTTATAGAAAATAAAATATCTAATTTGTGGTAGAGTTTTATAGAAATTATTTTATTTTCTTTAAATATATTCTTGTCTAATTAGATTTTACTTTATTAAAAAACTCATAATAAATATATAATGTGATATTGTTTTATAAAAAATAAAATCGCTTTTTTGTGGTAGATTTTATAGAAATCATTTTATTTTTTTTAAATATATTATTGTTTAATTATATCTTCTTTTATTAAAAAAAACTCATAATAAATAGGTAATATATGCTAGAGGAAATTTTTTAAAAACTCTTTTTATATCAATTAATAAATATTTTTTTATATTAATATTTCTTGTCTAGTTTGTGGTACAGTTTTAGAAAATTTATTTTATTTTTTATATTAATTAATAAATATTTTTTATATTAATAATTCTTATCTAATTAGATTTTCTTTTATTAAAAACTCATAATAAATAAATAAATAGGTGATTTGTGTTAAAGTTTTAGATTGAAACTTTTTTTAAATCAATTAATAAATATTTTTTTATATAAATAATTCTTGTCTAATTAGATTTTCTTTTTTAAAAAAACTCATAATAAATAAATAAAAAATAGGTAAATTAAAACCTCTTTTTTATATCAATTAATAAATATTTTTTTATATTAATAATACTCGTATAATTTTTTTTTTTTTAATAAAAAACTCATAATAAATAGATAAATATGTAATTTGTGTTATAGTTTTATAGAAATTTATTTAAATATATCTTTGTCTAATGTGATAGAGTTTTATTTTAAAAAATTAGGTAATTTGTGGTAGAGTTTTATAGAAATTATTTTATTTTCTTTAAATATGTCCTTGTCTAATAAGATTTCTTTTTATTAAAAAATTATAATAATAGGTAATTTGTAGTAGAATTTTAGAAAAATTATTTTATTTTATATATCAATTAATAATTTTTATATATTAATAATTATTGTCAAATTAAATTTTCTTTTATTTTAACTCAAAATAATAAATAGATAAATAGTTAATTTGTGTTAGAGTTTTATAGAAACTCTTTAAATATATCCATGTCTAATGTGATAGAGTTTTATTGAAAATAAAATAGGTAATTTATGGTAGAGTTTTAAAGAAATTATTTTATTTTCTTTAAATATATCATTGTCTAATTAAATTTTCTTTTATTAAAAAATTCATAATAAAATATAATTTGTGGTAGAGTTTTAGAGAAATTATTTTATTTTCTATATCAATTAATGAATATTTTTTATATTAATAATTTTTTAGATTTTCTTTTATTAAAAAAAAATCATAATAAATAAAAAAAATAGGTAATTTGTGTTAGAGTTTTATAGAAATTTTTTAAATATATATTTGTGTAATGTGTTTTATTGAAAATAAAATAGGGAAATTATTTCATTTTTTTTTTAAATATATCCTTACGCGCGGCACTTTCCTTTTGCTTTTTGATCTTATATTCCCATTAATAGATAGGGCTAAAAACAACGCATTGAAATGAAAACAACGCATGGAAATGAAAAAGGTGATTGTTCCAATTTGTCTAATTAGATTTCCTTTTATTAAAAAACTCATAAGATAATTTGTGTTAGAGTTATTATTTTATTTTATCTATTTAATTTTAATTGATAATTAATTTATGTCAAAGTTAACATATTTAAAATTGAATTATTTTGTCAACATCTTGTGAATTTCAAAACTCACTCGATGCGGGGCAACAAAATAAAGAAGACCGTAGAAGCCATTCCAATAAGTCTAAATATTCATTTAAATATAAATGAAATTATAGATATCAATTTCTTCTTAGCCCAATATGACGTTTCCGATTTTTACCATTTTTAATTTTTCCGGAATTTTGTCGCCGCAAGGCATTTTCGTCTTTTCACGTTATGTGTACGGGATTGTGGTTGGGTCCATTTGAATTGTGTACATTTTAAATTATGTGGATTGAGTAATTTTTGCATGTGGTGCACTTGTGTGTGTATGTGGTGTAAAATTGAAGCAAAAAGAAAAAAAGAAAAAGAAAAGAAATAGTGGCGGGACCCACCACCATCCCAAATTTGAGTTAGAGACCATATTTTTGGTCTCTTACTTCTCTCTTTCCCGTGCGTCTCTCTCTCTCCTTTTTGCTCCTTGTTTTTCTTTTTCATTTTTGTTTCCAATCTTAGAAACATGATAACTCACTCAATACTTGGAGAAATTAAAAGCCATTTGAGGCAAAACGAAGAGCACGACGAGCTCTACGCATTCATACGAGCAATTTCAGATTTGGTGCCCTCCTTGATTTTCGAATTCCTTAACCCATTTCAAGGGTTTTGTGTCAATTTGAGATAGGGGCTCTTAATCCACGAAGTTCTTGCACTTTAGTGAATTAATCTACTTGAATTGTGCCTTAGCATGATTCATTGCTTTGATTTTAGTTTAACATTACTTAATTGAGAATATATGAATATGAATGAATATGTGTTAACTTGATTGTATATAGAAGCATGCTATATGTTGAGTTATGTGTTCATTGTGTTGCTAATATACTATAAATGATGTATGAAGGACATGCCTAAGTGTTGAATTTATAATTCCATTATGCTGTTTCTATTGTGTAAAAGCATGTTGTAGCTTCCTTAAAAGTTCTTATGAATTGTGTTAGCTAATTGTGAGATGATGAACATTGGCATAACATAAATGCATCTATGCATTTACATTGGGCATGAAATGGGAATAATTGATTTTGAAATGAAAATGAGAAGTTTTGGGAAAGAATGTATTGATGAAAGTGTTTTGATAAAACTCAATCGCTGCGGAGTCACCAACAGGCCGGTAGGTTAATGTAACCTAGAGGGAACTAAGGAGATTGCCCTAACGTGGTTAAGCTATATGGGCCCCATAATGACGCTGCGGAGTCACCAAAGGTCAGGGACAGTAGCCAATCCTTCTCTCGGCGCTGC